AAGTAGGCTGGTAGTGAGCCACCTTATGCAGTAAAGGTAAGAAAGAGCTGCTGCTTTTTGCATTTGTGCCACAAACTTTAATCTAAGTGCGAAGGTTGATTGGTGTGCATTCCAGACGGATACATACATTTACTGGGATAATTTAAATTTGACAAACTCTACTCTACTAGTAATTAGTTTTAAAGCTTAGTGGTGTATACATGTCGTCCTGTCTGATATACCTATTATACTTATACAACTTTTATTGTCATTTTGTATACAAAGAGTGTATACCAAAGGAAATTTAGTTTTGTACAGCTTTCAGACAGTGAATGAGAAGCAGCTTAGCAGTAAAATAAACAAAGCATTAGCTTTGTGCTTGGCTGCCTTTGCACTCACAATGGGATAAACCTCTTGAGAGGTGATGCAAAATTTCTCCCAAAGTTATATATAAACATATTTAAAATAAATATTCCATAATTTGTATGGTCGATTTTTAGGGCAAAGACCCAGATGAGAAGGCACATAGACTTTCCTTGGCTAGTTCTCCCTCATAGTTCCTCTTTTTCTTTTTAGTTAAATAAGATGTAAAAGTTTTCTTCTATTAACAGAATTTCTCTATTTTTCCACTTTAAGCTATAGTTTTTTTCAATAAATTTCTACGTTTTCTTTCTGTCGGGCAGTCTTGGAGACTGTGTTTCATTTGTATTGTCTGTCTACATGAGGTGAATCAAAAATGTCATGTAATGTCACAAGAGTAAAACCGGTACAATCATGAACGTTTTTGTTCATCTGCAGGTAAAATAGCTTGTTGAGCAACTTTGTCACATTTTAAATGGGGATAAAATGTCTCAAATCAACTAAACATGTAAATACTGAGTATAAATACCATCAGTTTGTCCTGTTTGTTTGAAATAACCTGTGATCAGATAAGGTGAGGTCGTAGATAGGACAAATGTTTCCGGTTTCCACGCAGACACATCATCCTCCCTTTTCCCTTCGGTCAGTAAGGTAGTCTTCAAAACATCGACTGCATGCGGCTGGCTCCAGGTGGGAAACCCTGCTGTTCTGCAGGAGTTCACAGGTAAGGGAGCGCTGTGGCTGGAGCTCCGTCAGAACTCATGAAGGTTATTGAAGTTTCTGGAGCACAATCAATACAGGAAGTATACACAGCCCCTCTTTGATGGCCAAGGACACTTGGAGATTTAAACTTCAAGCTAGCAGCCAGGGATATCAGTCAATATGTTTTGTGACAAGAGACTTGCCAAGGGATTTAGTAGGAAAGCAGCCGATTTCTGTTAAGCCTTGAGAAAGGAACAAAGTGGATATTGTTCTCGGCTGCTTTTCAAGGCTTCTTCAAGTGTGAGCTGGATGGAAGCAGGAAAAAGTGACGATATTTATGCCTTTGGTTTTAGCCAATTGACTGCTGGGTTTACACTATGTCAAGTGCACACCTGCAAAGCTTTGAGCGATGCTCTCCTAATTGCTCTAATTCTTTGGCTGCTGGGGCCTAATAGAAGGTGAGTACACTCTTCCTTCAAACGTGGATGAAAGCACCAGGACGTTTTAGTGGTGAGCGAATGGAAGGGGGTGCGACTAATGATTTACAGTGGCAGACTTCCATTAAGCTTCTCTCCATTTTAATTTAACTTTGCACTCAGGCAGCGGACTGATTTGAGTTTGGGACACGACCCAAGCAATTCATGTGCACAACAACTTTGATTGAATAGTTTTGGTGGAAATGATTGTTAAGGAAGCCCTGCAGAGAGAGGCTTTCTTTTTTCTTTTATTGGTGGCGTGTCAGGCACGCATACACCTACACAAACAAACATGCACTTTTGAACTCTTGTTCTTTGTTGTGTAATTTGCTGGGATAACTATTCAAATGCTCCAAATGCTTGTTTTTTATCTACTTTTTACATTTTAAATGGATTTAGCCTTTTTATATCTTCCCCTACTATTTTATTAAACAACCATCTGACTTTTTAATGAAAGTCATCCCTGCTAATTTACGAAATCAAGAATACCAGTCAGGATGCTGCTAAATTGAAAAGACTGCAGATGCGATGCTATAGGCTCCTTCTTTAACCAGACAGAAATGTGGAAAAATTGTGTTTACCTTGCATTCTAGGGAGAAAGTGGGGAAGAGAGTTTAAAGATTACAGTTCATGTCTGCGAATCCTCATTTCAAGCTCTTCAATACTTGCGCTGCTCACGTCAGACCTTATCAAAGCTCCAGGGGTTTAACTAAATTAGAACAGGCACCCATTTGGAACTGGGCTCTGGGACCAATTACTAATTATCATTGTGGACAATTGAATTCGTTTACTTGTGTCTGTAGAGCGGTGTGTTTGTGTTATGTTCAGGGAGCAGTCAATGAAGCATCTTTTTGTTTTGGTAACCACAATCATTTAGCTGATCTTGTCTTTATCTTTTGTTCACATTGTCTCTGAATTTCTCCTCTTTCTGCATTCTCATACAGCCCTTGAATTTGGTTATAACACAATTTTGCTGTCATCTTGTGTTTTTTTTTCCCATCGGTTTAAACTTGGTGTTGTGTAACAACACAAAATTCTTGTGTTTTTAACCATTAAATCCTCTATAAATTAATTATTCTTTACTTTTTTCTGTATATTTATTTTCCTTAATTTATTTTAACGTATTCAAATGTGTTGAAACCAACTCTTTAAGTCTTTGAGCTGATTTATTTAAAGTGTAGCTGGAACTTTGTTTGATCTAAGGCCGGAACATTTCATCAGATTAATTGTGATTAATTAATTATTAATATAATCTTAAGCTTATTCAGTAATTAATTTAGTTATATTTTAGGCAATATTTTCACGGATCTGCCTTTAAAATATGGGGGGTAAATACAATCAAATAAAATGGTGAGACTGGCATAAAATCAAATATGAACAGCATAAAAATAAAACTCACCATTATGTTGAATTAGTGAGAGCCCTGAGCTTGTTTCTCCGAAACGTGCTCCTAATGTCCTGTCTGCTCTGTAGCTTTGTTTTGGTCGCTGTAACCGCAGAAAATACCACTTGTGCGGCCCGGTACCAAATGATCGACAGACCGGTACCAGTCCGCGGCCCGGTGGTTGGGGACTTCTGCTTTACTGGATATGACCTATCCAGAACTCCACAATTGGAAAAGTTTTAGTTTGCTTTAATTCTGTAAAAAAAAATTCTTTAAGGAACCTTTGGCCAGCTGATTATTAATCAATTATTCTAAAAAAAATAACCAACAGATTAATCGATTAGCAAAATAATCATTAGTTGCTCCCTAGTTTGATCAATTGGTAACAAAACATTTGATTTTGATGCTAAAGTTTTTCTGTAACATTAAATAAACTTCAAGAGTTTAGTCCCTTCAGACCAAAGTAATCTCCATACTTGGTGTGGGTTAAAACAACTTTCTCATTAACAACTATTTATTTTCCATCATTATCTCTTTCTCTTACACCCTCCATCATTTTTATCATCTGCCTCCCATCACTCTCTACGTCCTAACGGTCCAGTTAATTGCCTGCAAAGTTCACTCTGACTCTGGGCTAATGCAATTTAAGAGGGGTCGGAGCCCCTTCATCAGCCCAGCGATGGCATTTCATTAACTCTGCTTGGGTCTCGGCTCGCAAGCGAGCAGGGGGGTTTCACTCCATCGGCTCATCATTAGTAATTAATACACTGATGGGATTAGCTGCAGCACGACGCCGGTGGCAAGTGGTCACCGCACTGTTGCAAGTTCGGGACAGCACTTGCTGTCAGGGCGTCAAGCTCTGCTTTTGAGTTTGGGAAACTGTTGGGAAGTAATTAGTTGGTAGAAGATGGTGAATGAACACTTGTTTTTTGCAATGAGCCAAAAAATTCAACTTGATTTAGGTTTTCTTTAAAGTTTTTGGAAGTTCACTTAATAGTTTTAACCCCTCTAAATAATCTTTAATTTATCCGTAGCTTTGAAAAAACAACAACTTCCTTTTATAAGGTTGCTTCTTTGTGAACTTGGACCAGATATCAGTTCTAGCATGGGAGGCTTTCCCATGCATGACAGGGAATGCTCTGCACAGCGTTAATTACATCATTATGGTCGGGATGGATCTCCATCTGCTCAGCCATTACTCCTGTCCCATTCTGGGTTGACCCACACTGCGCTTCAGAATTAGACACACACAGGCTAAATGGCCTTGATAAATTATGAAGCTATTAGATATGGGAGGCTATTTTGGAACATATGCATTCACAGAGAGGAATGAAGGGTGGGCGAGGGAGAAGCAAATACGAACCAAGGGAAGATGGAGAAAGAAAGGGGGGAAAAAATAGAAATGTGAGAAATGAGAGTTGAAGCTTAAAGAGACTTTGAAAAATGAGAGCAAATGAAAGCAGCGGAGGGAACGTACGGATAGAATGATGGAGGAAGTGAACTTTTTCTGTCTGGACAGAGTTTCAATGTGCCTATTCCAGACTATTGTTAGACGTTGATAAGATTTTTATGAAGCGTGATCAGACGTTGATGGATTTTAGCATTGATCATGTAGACAGATCAGGGAACGGGAATGGGAGAAAAAAAGGTGTTCATATCATGTCTGGAGATTTTTACTATATTAGGGTTGGATCCTTTGCAGCATCTTTGATAAGACTGAGAAAAATACAAGTATAATATCTTCGTAATATCAGTGTATTATTATTACATTTTTCTATTATGTCTCTATAGGTTATTACCCAGTAGCCGGACAGCATCATTTCAAACATTGTCATATTCGCTTTATGTCAGAAGCCACATCTATCAATGACTTGAGGTGTTAAGACAGAAATATGCAACTAAAGCTAAATGTTTAGGTTTTGGAAATATGTGCAACATTTTCATTGTAATGGCTTCATAAAACAATAAAGTGATGTTGAACATTGACGTTACTGCCTATTTTTTTTTTTTATGTTAGCGTTTTTTTACTTGTTATGTTTACAGAAAGTTTACATTGACAAATACAACACAAACCGTCTCTATTCTCCTGTGTATTTAAGGTTCTGTTGATGGAGTATCTGGATGTGAAGAACAGCCGCAGTTCCACTGAGCAGACTGCTCAGCTCTCCTATGCGAGCACTGGCAGTGAGTTTGCTGCCTTCTTTGCAAAGAAAAAACCCCAGCGTGCCAAACAGTCGCTGTTCAAGTAAGAATCACATTCTTGGTTTGATAGTTAATACAGGATTTCATGTGCTTAAAGGTTTGAAGTCATCTTGGAAATGATTATAAACTATTGATTGTGTGCAATTATACTAGTAAGCAAGTAGTAGTAAGTAACAAAGATTGTAATAAAGTTGCTTTAACAACTACAGGTTAAAATGTAATTCTTTTTATTAATACATGCGATGCGGTATCCCTTGATTGATCTGAATGATAGGAATGCAAAATTACAATCTACATAACCAGTAATTAGAAGAACCTGTGTGAATGATATACTGGAAATACGTGCATGTTTTTTTTTTACATAGAAAAACAGAAGTTTCCTTCAGACTAACGCTCTTTTTAAAAAAAAAAGAAGGCTTAGTAGTACATGGATACAAGCTTGAAATGAATATCAATATACAAAAGCAAAGTAAAACAAGTGTTAATCTAAAATATGTTGTGATCAAGTTAAGATCTTTCAGTGGTTCTCTTCTGTCATAAAATCTACATAATTACTTTGAATTCAATCACAGAAACAATCCTATTAAACTTCAGTGTAGTAGTAATGGGAAGTTCGGTTTTTCAGAGACACCCAAAGAAGAGGCTCCAAAACTGCTCTCTATTTATTAAGATCTTATTGTAGCTCAAGATGGTAAATAATAGTAATGTTTTTTTTATGTTAATACATAATTTTGAACTGTGTTTTTATGAGAAGCTCTATATTTTCCTAACTTTATGTATTTGTTTATTTATATATATTTTTCAAACTTTTATTAATCACAGAAATAAATGAAACAATCACTGCAAACAAATCCATAGAAAGAAACCATAACAGAAACAAAAGAAAACCTTACCTAGCTTCACGGAGACTTGGGGGAAAAAAAAAAAGCTTTAGTTTGGTTAACATTAATCCTGCTCTTTAAATCTTTACAAAGATGCCTGCAGGAGCTTAAAGGACGTTTTGAAGCTAAACAATTTGCCTCAGAATGAGACCAGCTGAGTAGAGTATAATATCATCTGCATAACGGTAAACTTTAGCTGAAGACGCATCGTTTCCAAGCAATTGATAAGAATGGAAAAGTAATTAAAGCCTACAACATTGCCTTGGGGGACTTCTTTTATAATTTTATAAATTTTATACGATATTACTGCAGCTGTTTAAACTCAACACATATATTGGTTATTTTTTGAAATAATAGAAATATCTCATTTCTGTTCTAATAAAATTTTGTATTTTTATTTTCCTAATTATCAGATCTGTCAAAAAATGTATGAATAATAACTAAGGAAGTCTTGTGGTTTCTTTTTTCCGTCATTAGTTGTGCTGCTGATTAGACCTAAATCCTTCATTTCATTTGTAGGTTTGAATCATCGTCCCATGCAATCAGCATGAGTGCCTACCTGAGGGAACAAAGAAGAGAACTTTACAGCAAAAGCGGAGAATTACAAGGTGAGGAAAGGATAATGTAAACAGGATAAACTAAATAGTGGTGAAAATGCTGCTGAGATGAATCTGAAACTGTGAAGTGATAAGATTTTGGAGTATGTTGCATTCGAAGAAAGGAATACTTAAAAGTGGTGAGGTTTGGTCACGGTTTGTAAAGGTGGAGGGATTCACTCAGATGCTGATTGAGGTGAAGAGTTGGAATTGGGAGAATGAAAGGGGAGGGAGTAATGGGGCTCAGACACAGAAAGGACATGTCACAGTTCGAGGAGTTGCACTTAGGAACCAAAAAAAAAAAAAAAGGCAGACAACAGGAGTGTGGAGCGCCAAGCAGCGATAGAGAAAGAGATTGACGAGATGCAGAGAACAGGGTGACTTTGCAGAATCCGCCTACAGGGAGAAGCCCTTAAAAAGCTCTCGCTCACACATTCACACGCACAAAATAGCTCAGTTAGTGAGCTACACAGCTGGACCCTGGAGAGCCTGAACGGTGCTGCTGCCCCTACCTCTTGTGTTTTTCCTCTTCTCATGCTCTCTGTTCGTCCGCCTGTGACCTTGAGGTTTCAATCAGCAATGCCTGATGGCGATGTTTGCTGTCTGCTGCCATACCTTTTTTTCTTATCCAACTATTGGTTGACTCTTGATGGGTAAAAAAATATTGACAGAATAAATTTTGGTTTCCATACTTATTGAATCCACTGCTTTGACTTCCTTATTTACCTCCTTACAGAAATCTTCTGTTGTGTCAATCAGATACAAGCTATACTTCCCCACTCTTTTTTTTCTTGTTAAAGCACCTAAAAACAACCATGGCTGCAAAAAAGACCTGCACATGCACAACAAGAAAACTAAAATATCAAATAAATTAAATACAATCAGAACAAATACTTATAGAAAATAATAGAAACAAACAAAAGTCTAATTTGGTGTAAATAGCCAAAGAATACAAATTTCAAAGTGGACCATAAAGGGGCTCGTCTAATTTCGACAGTGAGGTCATTCCGTACCCCTGAAAGAGTAGCACTAAAAGCTCTCCCCCCTTGAGCTTTCCTTTAGACCTTTGTACCTCCAGGAGCAGCTGATCTGAAATATCGAGCAGTGAAGTAAGAATTGAGCAGCTCAGAAAGGTGAGGAAAGATCATGTTAACTTTAAAAACAAATAGCCAAATGTTAAATGGATTTCTAGAAGGCAGCTGGTGAAGGAAGCCATGATGAGGGTGATGTGCTCCCCCTTACCGGCTCTAGTCAGAAGCCTGGCGGCAGCATTCTGCACCTCCTGGAGTTGTTTCAGGGAGGACTTGCTTATTCCAAGAGAAAGTCCATCACAGTAGTCCAGCCAAGAAATAATTGACTGTTGTTTCAGGCTTTACCTCAGCCAACCGCCTTAGATAATAAATACTGGAGTCTACAACTGCTCCAACCCAGCCGTCTAATTTAAACAGATATGATCAAAACCCAAATTGGCTTAGATGTTCAGATCTGTATGTGACTTCAGTATCTGTATTTCCAGTATGACAACCAATAGCAGGTTTTTGCCTTGGATCTGTTTTTTGTGGATAATTGTTCCCACTACAGTTAGATAGAGTCCTGAAGCCTTAGAAACCATCAAGCTGAAATTTTCACAATGGAGCAAGGTTTTTCCGTAAAAATTCAAAAAATATCCACTGGACTTGGTTTTCAAGATTCACTGCGGATCCAGACATTTGAATTGAGAAAGCTTCCTGGAGAGGTGGCGAAACGTCTTCAAATCTTGAAAACCAAGTCCAGTGGATATTTTTTGAATTTTTACGGAATGACTATGACCTGGATGACTGAGAACCTTCATCAGCAATGGAGCAAGGATTCTATATATATATATATATTAGTGCTGTCAATCGATTAAATTTTTTTAATCGCGATTAATCGCATCAATGCCTGAGTTAACTCGCGATTAATCGCATTTTAATCGCAAATTTTTTTTATGATTGAAAATCATTTAAATACTCTCGATGACATACAAAAAATACATACAGGCTAGGTTTGTGCCAATGTTCTTTTTTTAAAATGAAAACAGGTCACAGGCACTGATTTATGCCATAGAAACATATGGCAAGAAGATGGGGAGGCATGTAGCAAAAAATAACAAATATGTAGCCAAAAAAAAGGCCCTGAAAACAGGCTGATGTAAAAGACAGTCTTAACAGTTAATACAGTCTTTTGAACAAAGACAAGCATTTTACCCTACTGCTATAAAATGTGGTACAGTTAACAATAGATGTTAATTAACCAAGATAATAATGAACAATTTTCAATCAATACATCAAAATCAATAGACCGACATCACTAGATGGAGGTAGTCTATGCTCTAGAAAGTAACTTTTCAGCCCCTTAACAAAAATGAGAACACACACACACACACACACACACACACACACACACACACACACACACACACACACACACGCGATACTGACCTGTGGCGTACACAGACAGCAAGAGTGCCGTAGCAGATTCCATTTCACCTCCGTAATCTGTTTTCTCAGTGTATTTCAGGTTGCTACTAGTTACCAGACACTCAACTTGTTTGTTGGTGGTGGGGCTTAAAGAAAAGGCACTAGCGTCACCCAGTGTATGAGCGTCTTTTTCCCTTGAGGAGCTCCGCTCTGGAAGCCTATGAGAAATGCATACACTGGGGGAAAATAGCCCCGCCTTCCCGCAGGCTGCAGCGGGATGTACTTGGAAAATTGTACCATAAAACCACATAGCGTTAATCTCACGTTAAAAAAATTATCGCCGTTAAAATGGCCTTGCGTTAACGCGATAATAACGCAATAATTTTGACACCACTAATATATATATATTAGGGTTTCGCTGATACCGATAATGCACTAAAATGGTGGTATCGGTATTGGTGAGTACTGAAAATAGGGCACCGATAACATTTTGAGAGCCAAAAATGTATTCAATGATTGTCACCCATTCCAGGTAGACAATAAAAAGTTCTACTGGATTCACTTTGTATTAGTCTTTTTCACAAAGGTAGCCAGCAGCTTGACAAATCCATGATGGCAGTTATTTTACATCCAAGTAGTATGCAGTTCTTCATATATACACACACACATCAATTTCATACAGAAATTTAAGAAATTTAACTCTAATTCCTGATTTTTTAGGGGGGTAAATATATTTGCATGTAGCCCTGGATATTATATATATTATATATATATTTTTGCTTTATTAAATAAAAGTTGCTGCTGCTTTTTGTAATCAGTTAGATTGGCTTTGTTCAATTTCTTGAATCATTTAATGATCTACATCATGTATGTGTGACAAAAAAGGAAACCAGAACAAAGTTCTAACAGAGCAAATACAGCACAATGTGAGCTATATTGAAAACTGATTCGACCTACCATCATGGCAGACATTCTAATGCATTCTTTATTTCCTACTTTAGCTGCAATAGTTCAATACGCACAAGGCTGTAAATATAAACCAGAAGAACAGCATTGATTAACTGTGGATAAAAGAAAACTCTAAATAGTCTCAGCATAAAGCCCCCTTTTTTTTTTTTCTGCTTCCATCTGCCGGCGCCTAAGAAAGAAGGTGGAAAACTATATTTTTTGACTGAATGAATGCCTCGGAGCGCTTATAAGAAGATGAGATTCCTCTTGGCTTTCATTTCACCTGTCACAATGTGTCGCACCGTTCGTGAGCCCGAGTCTCGGCCTGAATGGCTGAAAAGAGATTGAAAGAGTAAGAAATCATTTAGAAAGTGAAATAAGTCGACTGTGATGGAGGGAGAGGAAAGATGGATGGGGGGAGGGAGGGAGGGAGTAAGAGGAAGGTTAAAAGTCATTGTTTTCATCAGGGTCCAGTGAAGAAGCCATTAAGAGACTTCAGAGGGAAGAAATTAAAAGAAAATATGTACTGAGACTGTGTGGAAAGGGACTTTTTCCTATTTTCATATTAAACTTATTGGACAGGCAGGAGAGAAAAAGAGTTTGAGTTGATGAATTCTTTCGGCTTTGGGATTACTCTACACTTAGAGATCAGTCATGTGTGTCTGCTGCTTGGTGTTTTCTAAAGTCTTTTCTTTTTCCTCCAATGTTCTACTTCAAGTTAGTGCGGTTAATAACTCCAGCAACAAAGGAAGTAGCCTTAAAAGCTTTTTGTTGCCAATCTTGTAGTTTTTTCCTCCACCTATGCGCTATTAATTAATGCTTAAAACAATAATTAATATTATAGCTCACAAAGTTATTTAGTTTGAACTAAGATTGATTTATGTTTGACTAATATTTTAAAATCTTCAATCAACTTGCCAGTTTAAATAGTACTTACATTTTTTACCTTCAAAAGTTCTTTAAGAGCCCAACCAATGTTGTTTTTAATAAACACTGTTTGGCAAAACTGTTCATGCTTTTAGTTAACATGAGGTCATATTAAAACTCCAAACTTTGGTCTATTTTGGAGGTTTAATGGTATAGACCATCACTAACAATTGCATCATTATGTAGTAAAATGTATACTAAAAAGGTGTACTGTACTTTAAAAAAAAATCTTGGAATAAAATTCAGTCCATCCGGCTGCTTTGTGAGGGATGCAATCAACTGGTTTTCCTTAGATAGAAAACTTTGAATCAATTTGACTGTATGATCTGGTTGAACTGTAAAGTGCCTTGAGATGACTTGTGTTGTGAATTTGCGCTATATAAATAAACTGAATTGAATTGAATTGAATTTCAGAGGTCAAGCAGAGCCACCTGTGTGTGAGTGAATCTCAGTATGAATCCAACTGATCCGTGAAGCCTAAGAGGATCATTAGTAAACAAACCGCATCCTGAAGGCCAAATACTAACTTTTGAAAACACAATGCCCTTGAATAAATTTTTTCTAAGTAATGAGCCTAAATGAGCCTCTTTCCCACTGAAAATGCCGGGTTAACCCTTGTTTTTTAAGCATGGGTCAAACAGCTAACAATCGGCATATGGCTCCCTTCCCACCGGCAAAAAAATCTGGGTCTAACCCCCC